GCCTAGCAATTATGTGGGGCAATGGAACATAGTGTGCGGCACCAGGGGCCTCACGCGAGTTCTACTCAGCCAGAAAGGAACATGATACGCAAAACGCGAAATAGGACAGAAGATGATTCCGAGTCTTAGAAACTTCCATTCATTTCGTATCCAGGATGGAGCCAATGACGGAATCAGAAAGGAACCTCCCACGGAAAAATCGGTACATCGAAACGATACGATTTCATTCATTTTCGCATTTGGAACATTAGTTTCAAAATAAAATGCGTCAAAAGGGAATGCGATTCATATCCGGCACTTTCAGACCTTGACAGGTCGCTTGAATCTCGTCAGAATAGCCAAAATGCGTGATAGACCGGTTTAAATAGGGGATGAACCCAGTGATGCATCGCTTCAATCCGTCCTGGCATACGTCTTATCGAAGGAAAGCCTCATCCCTCAGGGAGGAGCGTTCACCGAGGCTCATACAAAGATGAGAGAGTCTGACCCGAAAGTTTGTTACCCAAGCAAGGCGACAAAAGAACCTTCAAACTGCTGAAAAGAGGCAGTGTTACGTTTCCAATATCGCCCGAGGGCATCATATTCACATTCCACTTCTAGTTAATAGCGAAGAATTACTGCTGTCCTCTGCGGCTGCAATCCATCGGGACGTACCGAGTGGAAGGATCTTTGACATTAAACATGATGGAGGCAAGCTTATGGGAAAAGTTCACGGTACCTGGTTTCTCTCGGTATCCAAATAGTTAAGGGGAAAAAATATATATATTTATAATAAAAAAAAACAGAAAAGGGGTGGGGAAACAGACGCGAGTCACACACGTATAGGAAAGAAAGGGAAGGTTACTGTGCTTCAATCACATATAATCTTTCCATCACCTTCTTACATCCTCCTTTTTTTATTCTTTCCTTCCTTCCTTTCTTTCTTTCTATTCCTTCTCTCTTTTTGTCTTCTTGACAAGGACACATTCCGATCCTATATCTACAGACGGGGAATTGCTGAGAAATACCAACGACTTTTAATCAATATGGCTCTTCTCCCATTTGAGCTATTTTCACGAAACTTTTGCTAGACATAGACGAATGTTTTAAACTTATCTTCGAAAAAGTTATTTCAAATTAATTGCGGGAGGCAAGACTTAGAGCAATTTTAAAAAAAATTAGATAATGAAAATGAAGAACAACGAGAGCAGAGAGCATGTTAAAACTCATTGGTCTTTTTGTTTTGCCGAACCCTGTGCATTTGATATTGGTGTCACAATTTCCAGTCTGTTGATCCCATCACATCTGAAACTCGTGAAATCTGCAGTATTTGGAAACCCCCAATTTGCTCGTGGTTTCCTTGCCAAGTAGCTCATAAGATCAGTCTCATGTGTGGCACAGTCGCCACCAAAGCGGTTTCTCTGCTGGAATTAGACCTCATTCCGTTGAATGAGACCGCGCAGGCCGGACCGGATTTCTTCCCCACGATCGGGACGATTCCCCATCGATAGGGATTTAGAGTGTTGTTCGTCGCGTTCTGCGAAAGCAAGGCAAAAATGAACGACGTGGCATGCAGTAGATAAAAGATGAGCATCGTTCCCGTGCGAGGGTAAAATCCGGGTCGAAAAGAAATTATATTCTATCTGGTGCGGAGGCCGAACCTTCCTTGTTCGTATTTTGGTCGAACCCCGTTTGGAAGGGGAATAATCAAATTCAAGTCTTGGATGAAATGGCACCTTTAAAGAGTTCGAGTTCAGGCATATGGACGAAGCAGTAAGGGACAGGAGGACTCGGACGGAAGCGGTGCAGTTCAATGTCGGAGGCGAGATCTCTCTTCCGACGTTTCCGTCTGTTTTAAGACGCAGAATGCCGTCTGGGTGCTTTGTGAAAGCAGACGGCATCCACTTTTTCCCTTTCACTTCCGACGCTCCTTTCGAAGATCCTTCCGTTCAGACCGACCCGATTCCGCTCACGCATTGCGGCCGTGCAGGTCAGCAGTAATAGCTCAGCATTAACTGCAGACGAGATACGGGTCTACGTCCAAAACTATATTTAAAATAGCAACAGTATCTCAAGCACTACCAGTAGCCAAGGGGCACGAAGAGACAGACTCAGGAAGACAGATAGGAAGAGATGAGATCGCGCCGACGATCAAGAATGGAAAAAATAAGGATAATAACTTTTTGAATAGCCATTATTAAGAGTTATATTCAAAAAGTTATTATCCTTATTTTTTTTAATGGAAAAATAACGACTGCGTTCAGTACAAGCTCATATTTTGGAATGGTCTCCGACCTTGTGGCTATCCAAATGGCATTTCAGCTCCATTTTTAGATAGTATCGGCAAGTTTTTCTTTGGGGATACGTTCACCGTACCGGAAAATCGCTGAACCCACAACAGCCTGTTTGTTGCGACAGTTTTTGGACAGGCAGAAGTCTTTGGAGACATCTTGGCATACTGTTCGCAAACATCTACTAATTTATTGTGAATGCCCAAGGTTTTCTTCCCCTGGAAAGGCATAAAGCAGAGAAAAGTATTTTTGTTTTTCTTTGCTAAACTTTGCATTTTCGCTGCGCGTCTCAACCTAAGACATCAGCATGAACGGTGTTTTTTTTATTACAAAATATCTCCAGATTAGCATTAAACATGGAATTCTGAGCAAAAGCGTGAAGCAACAACGTAGGGCAATTTGTATTTCTATCTACCATGGCAGAAACAGGAAAAATTAACGATTAGAACGTCCTCGCATTATCAGGTAAATTTCGTATGTGTCCTCATAATATTATTTACTTTATTTTGATATTTCAGAAGATCCCGTTTATGTTTATGATTTGTTGGGGGATCCTTTCTGAGGTTTCATCCAGCAACCAAAAAAGAGGGAAAAAATTTCGTCCTTACCTATAAGGCATTCCATACTTCTTGATTTGAATTGCTTTAATTACTAATAGGAGCATGATAGAAGGGATTTCCCAGCATTGTGGTATGTCTCCAAGCTAATGCATTCGTAAAGGTTGTGAAGGGCCATAATTCGTGGAATCCTGGAGGAAAATGTGTCCTCAAGAGACAGGAGATGCCCACTGTTACCAGATTGTGATCAGGTCGCATGGGACTTAAATTCATCATGAGCATACCTAATCGTGCGAATAGAAAACTCCCAGCCGTCCACTGGTTCTCCATTTGTGAAGTTCATGTCTGCATTGAAATAAAGATGCACCAAATTGGAGTGCTTTTTTTCTGGAGCACCCCGTAGGTGTGGCTTGACTACGGCTGTATTCTTCTTCAAGGCAGGGATGAGTCTAACATCTATCTTTCTTTTACTATCTGAATCTTATGCCAGGTTAATCCCAGGTTAAGGTCAGATCTAGCTTTGAAATGAATGATTTTGAAAAAAGAGTAGACTTAGGGATCGTTTTGGACAGGCTTCGATAGGAAAGGTGTACCTATTGCTCCGCTTCTCGCAGACAAATTGGAGAACTCCAGTTTTAGAACAGGATGAGTTCACTAGGCAAAATATTGGGAAGACGGGCTCACAAAATTGTCTATCAAATGCATCAACAGGGTCATCACACTTCAAAGTATTTAAACATTTAAATACAACATTAAAAAAAGAACGGAGCTGTGGAGTGGTAGCGGAAGGGACGATCCCCTCCGACTTCCCTCGATCGCCCTATCGAAACTACTATATGAATCGTCATGTATTGTATCCCAAATCAAGGGGAACAAAGAGATCTTCAAACCAAAAGTAAATCGTCGTGATCGGTGCCCAGAATTTCGAGCAATGAACGAAGAAAGAGAGGGCAATATTCACTCAAGATCAGAGAGAGCGCTCAGTTTTTTCTTGGAATGGTGTATTAGAAACTGCGAACCGTTTGGCCCAACGCAATTCTCTTTTCAGATGGGTATGTTTATGTGCATAAACATGATCCCACAAAAGCAAATGACCACGGGCGTGGGGGGGGGGGGGGGGGGGGCCCATGTTTTTG